GCAATGAGAGAAGAAGTGAGGCTAACACCCCAAAGGGTAAGACTGGCAGCAGGAAGGAGCTGGTGAAGCCGGCCAGGGGCTGGGACACCTCCATGAGCAATGTAGACTTTCTCTGAGACTTACTTGCTAGTGAAGGGATTGGACCAGGTCATCTGGAAGCTTCCTTTCACTCTGACCTTCCAGAACTCAACTCTGCTTCTGGGCTTCACATTTTACAGAGAACACCAACTTTTTCCACCCCCCGCCCCTGAGTGGCACTTACGGAAGGAGTGAAAAACACCCCCAAGGGGTGATTTCCCCAGAATCTCCCTGGCCAGCCCACACCCGGGGGTGCCCTGCAGCTGGCCTTAAGGAAGCCTCCTAGTGGTCACCATACCTGCTCAGGCACCTGACATGTCTCCCCAGACACCAGGGAGGAAGCAGGGAGAGGAGATGGAAAAGCACATTTCCCATTTTAAGGAGACTCAGTAGGATGTGAACTCGGGCTTCGCCCTGTTGCTTTGCCGCAAAGACCACAGAAGTCACTTGAGTTGGCTGCCCTGACCCAGCCACATCTCTGCCCCTTTTTTATCTCCTGGGCACAACTTCTTTGCTTCCTGCATTGTCTTCCCAAACTTAGGAGGCCCGGAGAGCCTCAGGCTACCCGGAAAGCTCTTTCCCAGGGCCCTCTCTGAATTCCTGTGCCCTCCCAGGCCTGCAGGGAGGACCCCGTGCCAGAGCTGGGTCTGATAGGGGCAGGGCACGTAGGACAGACAGCCATGAAGGAACCACATGCATGGGGTATGATGGCTGCCGTGTTCTGGGTAGTGAGGCAAAGAGGGGGCCTTGGGGTGGGTGGGGACATTTGGGGAAGGGGAGGGACTGCTCACAGTGCCACCTGCTTGAGTTACCTCTTGAAGCCCACTGGGGAAAGTGGATAGCATGAGGCCAGGACTGGGTTCAGAAGTTTAGCCTTGTTTAGGGAACACTGGGCGGCCCTAGATCAGAGGGAGTGAGAGTGCAGGTATGCTGTGTCTGCCTCCTGTGGGAGAGACAGACAGGCTGAACTCAGACGATGGCTGCCCACATGGAGGGGACTGTGGGTGGCCCAGGACATGGGTGCAAAAGGCAGGGTCCTAAAAGACCTTGGGCTCACTGGGCTTCTATCCGAGATCATTTTCAGTCTCTAAAGTACTTCCTTTAGTGTTTCTTGAAGAACAGATCCTCTGGTGACTCATTTTCACAACTTTTCTTTGTCTGGAAAAGTCTGTCTTTGAAGGCCGTTCGTTATCAGTAGATGTATGGTTTCTGCTGTTCTATTGAGAAGTCAGCTGTCAGTCTTAGCTTCTCCTTTGACTGTTGCGTGTCTGTCTATTTTACTTATTTATTTAAAAAAAAAGATTTTATTGGGGAATTGGGGGAGGGGAACAGTGTTGGGGAATCGAGAGAAGGGGAACAGACAAGCTGCTGTCCTTGTCCTTCAGTCTAGTTGTGGAGGACGTCACTTCACTGGCCCGTGTTGGTATTGTGATCATTGTGCTCTTCCCGGGTGAGGCAGATTGGTTGCTGGCCATTGGACAGCGGCTCACGGCGGCTCTTGGCAGCTCATGCCAGCTGCTGGCCGCTCACTCTGGCTGCCAGCCACTCACAGTAGCTCATGGCAGCCCACTACAGCAGGGGCTGCAGCCTATGCCGTCGCCGGCGACTCACAGCAGCCCAGCTCCAGGTTGAGCTGTTGTTCAGCATCTTAGCTGTAGAGGGCGCAGCATCACTGGCCCACATGTGGGATCCGAACTGGGGCCCCGCTGCTCAGAGCTGGCGTCCCAAGCCAGCTCTTAACCAACGTGCTCGGCCGGCCCCGTGTCTATTTTAAGAATTTCTCTTTTGTCTCTGGTGTTTAGTAATTTGACAATGATTTGCCTAGGTATGTCTTTCTTTTGAGTTCATAGTATTTCTTTAATCATGGCTCGATGTTTTTTCATTAGTTTTGTAAAATTCTCAGTCATTATCTCTTTAACTATTGCTTCTGGGTCTCTAATTACATGCCTGTTAGGTCTTTTCATCATGTTGCACGTCTCTTATGCCCTTTTCTGTGTTTTCCTTCCTCTGTGCTTCAGCCTGGACATTTTGTGACCCACCTTGCTGTTCGCTAGTTCTTTCTTTACCTGAATCTAAACTGCTGTTCAGCCCATTTATTGAGTTCTTAATTTTGGTTATATTTTCAGTTATTGAATTTCCATTTGATTCATTTTTACAGTTTTAAATTCTCTGCTGAAATTCTCCATATTGTGGTTTACCTTCCTGAACTTTTATTAATTTCAGTTATTTTACGTTTCATTTCTGATCATTCCAATATTTGGATCACCTGTGAAAGTATTTCTTTTGTCTTTATTTTTTCTCATGGCTTTGGTTGAATCCTGGATATTGCATATGAAAAGTTCTAGATAATTTGAGGTTCCAGATAACTTGTTTTCCTCTGGAGAGAATTTGTTCCAGCTTCCGGCAGACAGGCCTCTCCAGATGCCCTGACCCACCCTCTCAGGACTGATGCAGAAGCACCCTCGCCTCTCCCAGTTACAGTCCCCCATCCTGCCCCAGGGCAGGCCAGTCAGCGACTATGCTAAGGCCAAGCTGTGTTTCAGTCCTTTTCAAGAATGGTCTGTTCAGGTTCCCCGCTACTCTGAGGATGGGGGTCAGGTGGGGGGGGGGGTCACAACAGAAGGTTTGCCAAGGCCCCTACTTCTTGGCTGCTCTGAACACGTATTTTTTTCTCTTCAGCCCCATAAGGTTGCAGGAAGTTTTGCTTGTTGACAGGCACATGCTTTAAGGGGAAAGAGGTGCCCCCTGTCAGGCTCACCTGCTGCCCATCTGTCTGTCCGATTGCAGCCTCTCGGATCCTCGTTGCCTTGGTACTTCTCCAAGGCCAACAAATAGATTTTTTAAACTCTATCTGTTGTCAGGTTTTTGAAGTTGTTTGCCTGGGGCTAAACCTTGGTCCTGCACTGGAAGGGCCAGGCCCCAGCAGAACCAGGGCCCGGGACCTCTCCTGAGACCTGCGCTTTGGCGGTGTCGGGCGTGGGGGCTGGGAGGGGTGGGAAATTGGGCATGAGTGAGGGGCAGTCTCTTTATTAGCTCTCACAGTGAATCAGGAGGCCAGACCTAGCTCAGAGCTGGACACGCCCAGCATAGCCTCCTTGTCTACAGATGTGGAAAATGAGGCCCAGAATGTACGGTGACTGGGACCCAGGAGTTCTTGACAGCTTGACCAGCGCTCAGCTGCGGGCCGGGAGCCTGGGACAGCGGGTGGCAGGGCTGCGGGGGCGGTTCTGCTCTTGCCCGTTGCTTCTGGCCTCTTCCTGTCCCCCTGCTGTGTCCTCCTTCATTCCAGCTGCATTTCTGAAGCCCGGGCATGGGGGCAGGGGTACTTGCTGCTGGGAGCCGCCTCCCCTGCTGATTTCTCACAGATCCCTGGAGCGGTTTCTGAGTGACAGTTTTTTTTTTTACTAATCCTCGCAGTTTTCTCCCCACACCCAGTTTCTCTTCCGCTTTTCTCCCCACCCCGTCGCTAATGAAAGTCAGTGCACAGACCATGCCCGCTTTCTCTCCTGACACCTCAGTGACCCAACGTTCGCCACCAGGCCTGAGGCAGGCACCGGGGGAAGGGGGGCAGCTGGGGCTGTGGCCTCAGGGCCCTGGCAGAAGGGAAAGGGCCGGGGGAGCTGGTGAAAAGGACCGAACTTGGCATCAGAAGGCCCCGAAGTCCACACCGCTGCCACTTGCTAACTGTGGTCACACACACCTGCTGCTTCAGCTTGGGGAACGTTACCCTACCCCGGGGCTGGGAACGTCCGTGCTTTGGGCTGGCAGACAGAGGGTTCGGTAGATGAGACTGGGAGGCTTCCTGTTGGGAAAATGTCACCTGTCCTGGAGGCCCAGGACGTGTGAGGGGCCAGCAGCCCTCTAAAGGGCTCAGAAGAGGCAGTAGGGGAGGAAGAGGACCCACCTTGCAGCTCCCCTGGCTGACAGGTGGGGCGGCCACTTCTGCCTCCCCCAAGGCCTAGATGGTCTGACCCAGTGGCTGTCTTACGTTTATTAAGCAGCAGCCTCTGGGAACTCTCACTTTGCCCCTGGAGTCATCCAGGAGCCCCTCCTCCTGCAGACAAGCTTCTGTGTGTGGGGGTGAGGTGGGGGGAGGGCAGGGCCCCAGGGAGAACCCCAGTGAGCACTTGGTGCAGCCAGCCCTGCCTAAGGCGACTGAGCCCACAGGAACATAAACCATGGTTGCTGGTGGTCACAGTGTGTGACTGAGGTCCCTCGTGGCTGCCCCCTTCACCGAGGTCTCAGGGTCTGCCCTGGTAGCGTTTTAGAAGACCTCGCCAGGGCGGGGCCTGTGCAGTTCTCATGGCTATCCAGGTGGCCCGTGGCTTTCCAGCCTGGCACACTGTCACGCCTCTTCCCTCAGCCTTGCCGGCCACTCCCAGCACACACAGACCCTTGCCACCAGTAGTTGAGGGACTGTACCAATGGCCTCAGGGCACAGAGGCTCTGAAAAGGAAGCCAGGCTTGGGGAACCAGTGGGTGACCACACAGCTCGGAGCACTGACCCTCTCCTGGGATCATACCTTGCCTTGGTCGCAGATGCTGCAACCACTGCTGTGTGACCTTACGAAAATGGTACAGTCTCTCTGACCCTCAGTTGCCTTAACTGTCAAAGGGAGATGACCCAGGAGAGACTTCCGTGGAATGCTGCTCAGGCATCCCTAGCGCCGCCTCCAGACTTGAACCTACATTGCAGGCAGGGCCTTAGGAGAGCAGCCAGCCGGCTACTGAATGGCAGACGAGGGAGCTGAGGCTCAGAAAAGGGACCTGCTCCTGCTGATGCTTCTGTTCCCAAGCTTCCCTCGTCACCACGCCATCTCCGGAGAGAAGAGGAAAGTGGGAAGTGAGCAGCTTGTGACCTGCACGTGAACGAGACTGTCCTATATTCACTCCATCTCTGCTTGTTCTCTCTGCCCTCGTAGGGAACTCAGGCTGCGGAACTATGTCCCCGAGGATGAGGACCTGAAGAAGAGGAGGGTGCCGCAGGCCAAACCAGTTGCAGGTAGGTGAGCTGCTTCTCTGCGTCTGCTCCCTGGCACTGCCAGTTGCCTCCACCTTGAAAGGTGTCGCCCTCTCTTGGAGAATAATTGGCAATGCCAGGGCTAGAAACTGGGCCTATAAGACCCTCCATCACCATCTCGTGGCAGGTGCACAACTAGTCAGTGTTGGGCGAGCGCAGAGAGGCGGTGAGGGCAGGAAGAGGCCTGTTGTGCCTGCTCTGCCCTGCCTTGCAGGCCTCCCAGGGACCTTGGAGCGAAGAGGCCACGTCTCAGAGGAACCCTCTGGACTGAGAAGTAGAAGTGACCTGGGGACCCTTGGAGGGTCAGAGTGAGACACATTTACGAGGAGCCAACCATTTAGGTGCTCAGAGAGCTGTGGGCAGGCAGATGCCCACCGGGATTGGAGTTGTGACAGTGCCAGAGCTCGGAGGATGGGGCGAGGTGTTCTCGCCGGTGGGGAGGGGCCCGGGGAGGGGCCCGGCCCAGGGGCTGCTCAGTCTTGTCGTGGTTTGGGGCGCGGCACAGCAGCCAGGAGCATCTGGCCAGCTGTGGCCTGTCCACGGCTGTCTACACTGGAGATGCTGGGGGCGCTTCTTATCACGCAGATCCCTGGCCCTGTTTTCATTCTGTGTTTTTGTTATCAGTTTTTAATTATACGAGTAATAAATGAATAAATACAGTTATCTTGTAGAAGATTAAACTGTTGCCCATTCAGCCACACCCTAGTCTGCTTCCTCATCTCCTTTGCCCCTGAGATTCCCACGCATCCCTGGTGGTTGGTTTGCTTCATGGTTTGGACCTCACTGTGGTGGGGCCAGTGGCACGATGAGGGGCAGTATGGCAGGATAGAAGAAAGGGATGGGCAGCTGCTCCCATGCCTCAGGCAGGGTCAGCACAAGAGGCAGGGCTGGGGGGCCGTGAAGGAACATGGAACCACTGTGAGGGGGGCTGGAGGAAACCTACAGAGCCCAGGGTTGGGGTTAGTGCTCCCAGCTTCTGTCCACAGCGGCAAGGGCCCACCTGGTCAGACTGCCCAGACGCCCATGGTGCTTGCTGTCAGCAGCTAGGTGCAGCCCGGACACACCTGAGGACAGGCCACTTCTAGGTGTTGGAAGCACACATCTAAGAGTAGGATGGGAAGAAACCACCTGTGCCCTGGTCAGTCCAGGGCCCCGAGAACGTCCTCAGAGCCTAGGAGCCCATGGAGGTTATGGGAAGAGCCCGTCCTCCAGGCCCCTCACAGAACCATACTTCGGATGTGTCCAGACCACTCTTGTTTCACAGCTGGGGAGACTGGGGTCGAGAGTAGCATCCGTCCTTCCTGACTAGAAGTCTAGGCTCTGTCTACTCCAGCTGGCTGCCTGCTGCCGGCCCTCCTTTGCCCCAGGATTTTCATCCTGGGAAACCTCAGCCCTTCCTTCAGAGCTGCCTTTGCATGGTCTTCGCGTCTGGTTGGCTGGGGGCTTAGGGGGAGGTGAGGATAAGAGAGCCCAGGGTCTCCCAGGGGACCTGCCTGCACTGTCTTCCCCTCTGCTGTGGCTGCAGTGTGCAATGTCACCAGAGTGGCAAGGCCTTTCTGACCAGCCTCTGTTGTTGTCTTGCGCCCTCTAGTGGAAGAGAAGGTGAAGGAGCAGCTGGAGGCTGCCAAGCCTGAGCCGGTCATTGAAGAAGTGGTGAGTGCCTCATCACTGCTGGCGCAGTCTCCCTAGCTGCATCTACGGGTCCTGTTCTCCTTCCCCACCTGCTCTCCTCTTCCCCCTTTCTTCTCTTCACTTCTTTATTTCCTTCCCACTTCCCTACTTCCCCTTACCCTTCCTTGTTCTTTGCCTTTTCCCCACCTCTGTCCCAAGTCTTCCTACTTACTTGGGGACTGGGCCCCTCCAGCCCTGACGTGTGTCTCCTCCCTCCGCAGGACCTGGCCAACCTCGCACCCCGGAAGCCTGATTGGTGAGTGTTGGCTGTGGAGCCCGAGTGCAGACTGACTGGGGCGCTCTTGGTGCCGGGCATGGGCTCCAGGCTGGGCCTTCCCGCCCTCACAGTGGGGAGACACACAGCATAGACACACACCACACAAGACAATTACTGCCTGAAGTAAGTGCCGCAAAGGACATAGATGGAGAATGAAAGGGAAGTGACGGGCGATGACACCTGGAGGGTGGCGAGGGGCGCAGGCAGACGGGGAAGCAGCAGTCCCATCAAGAAGTTCCTTCTGAAGGGGGGAGCACCTGCCCCACCTCCAAGAGCCCCATTTGAGCAAGGCTGACTTTTGCCCTCAGGGAGCTGCAGAGTGGGGGAGAGATGGTGGGAAGGGTGGACGTAGGTTTCTGTCCTGGTTCTGCCGCCAATTAGCCTGCTCCCGTTTGGCCTCAGTTTTCTGTGAGATGAGGGCGCTCCTGACTGGGCTGAGAAAGGGTGTGAGAGGGCCTGGTGGCCTGGGGGCTTGTGTTCTCCTTTCCCTTGGGCCAGAGGTACAACGGACCGTATCCCTCCTGCCTGCGAGTCTGTGTCAAGCACAGCACCAGCTGGAGGTGTTCTGTTTGATGAGACAAAAGCATGGGGCATATGTCCTGGGAAACCCAGAGCCAGGGAGAATAGGCGTGTGTGCACTTCTGGAAGCTCCTGGTGGTGAGGTGAACATGTGACTGGAGGAGCAGCAGGACCAACAGTGGGCCGGGCAGATCACTCCCTGACGGTGACTGAGGGGACCGGACCGGGAGACGGCCCCTGAGAAAGCACCCGCCCTTGCACACCCGTGCTCAGCCCCCTGTGTTGGGTGGGTCTGGGGCTGCCCTGCCGCACTGGGACTGGGGGCGATGGCTGAGCTAGGTTTTGGAGAATGCAGAAAGGGAGAGAGGCGCATCCTGGCCCCCTTCCCAGGGCAGCCTCTTCACACAGCTGCGTGTGATTCCTAATGCCCGAGGGACCGCGGGCAGGGGGCCCCAAGGCCACGCCAGGCCCGCCTTCAACCCCCGGCCTTCTCCCACCTCCCTGCTGTAGGGACCTGAAGAGAGATGTAGCCAAGAAGCTGGAGAAGCTGGAAAAGCGGACCCAGAGGGCCATTGCCGAGCTGATCCGTAAGTGCAGGGCCTGGCAAGGCAGGCTCTCTGCCCTCTGGGTGGCGGCCCAAGCATGGGGCCCCTCTCTACCCCTCCTGTCTGCCGTCCATCCAGGTGAGCGGCTGAAAGGCCAAGAGGACAGCCTGGCCTCGGCAGTGGATGCCACCTCCGAACAAGAGGCCTGCGACTCGGACTGAGGCCTGCCCCGTGCCCTCCCCCTCCACCGTCAGGCCTGTTCTCTCGGAGGATGGTCTTGGACAAGAGCGGCTGCTGGGCTTGTGTCACCTCCAGTTTGGTTTCACAGCAGTGACTCCCTACCCCCATCAGTCTGAACCACCCTCCGTGAGGTCAGCTCCTTGTCTCCCGAGCGGTCCCCATCACCCTGAGGGGGCAGAGCCAGCAGCAGCCCTGTGGGCTTGCTGTGTCTGTACATATGTGTGTATTTTGGACTTTTTTTTTTATCTCTGGAAATAGAAACAAACAAAAAAACTGTGTGGCAGAAACCTGTCAAATATTTCCTGGGTCCGTGGGGCGCTGTGGGTTTGGGCCCCAAGACAGGATGCCTACAGAGGTCATGCTGAATATGAGTAAGGCCTGTGTGGGGCTCAGCATGTTGAGGCTGGAGGGGTGGGGAGGGCCCCGGTCCAGGCACAGTCCTTGGTCAGCGGTGGTCATCTCAGAGCCCTTGAGTGACAGAGACAGGGTCTGAGACGGTTCTCTAAGACCTGCCACAAGCCTTGCAGTCTTCTGTGGGACAGCTACCACCCTGGCCCTCCGTGGACCCCTCACAGTGTGAGCGAGAAGGAAGAGACTGGGCCCTGAAGGGGGTGAGCTGTGCCCCGACGGACCTCAGCCCTGGGCCGCTCCAGGCTCGAGGCCCCGGTCACCATTCTTTCTCACTGTGCCCAGCTCCAGGCAGCCCTTCTTCCTGATGTCACTAGTCAGAGCTAGGCTATAGCTTACCTGGGACGGGGCCCCTGTATGGGGGACAGTGGCCCATTCTGCGAGAGACTAGGGTGATATAGGCCGAATTTAGGGTGGTCTTGGGCCCTGGACCCCCAAGGTCCTAAGCTTCCTCTGTGGAATTGACACTCTAGAGTGACTGGCTGACTGCAACTCTGACTCTAGGTAGCTGTGGCCAACTAGAATTTTATCTCTAGAATGATAACATTCTCAAGTTTCCTTCAGGATTTCCCCTTGAGCCTCTCACTTCTGCCTGGGGTCATCCCAGTGTGTTCTTCCCTCTGTGCTGACCTTCAGGTCACAATGACCCGGCTTTGAGGGATGGTGTTGAGGACTCAGCCATAGAGGTGGACTGAGTGTGTACACGCAGAGACCAGCATATACACACACGATAAATTAAATACTTTGAGTTGAAATGATGCAACTACTCTAAGAAGGTAATCATGTGTAGTAAATGAGCAGAAACTTGCAGCTGTGAGTGAGGGCTGAGGTGGTGGGTGGCTGGCTGCTATGGTGAGCAGTGGGGACAAGACCAGGACTCTGATTGCCACAGGGACAGGGATCAGATGTGGGATCAGGGACAGGTGTCAGGACTGGACCAGGTTCCTTCTGCACAGCTGGGGTCTGGAACTGGGCTTCCTTTTCTAGGAATAAAGGATGAGAAGATGCCCGTGCCTCCTGGGCATGCAGTTGGAAGCAGGATGCTTGTCTGTGGCAGTGTAGGACTCAGACACCTGGTGACACAACTGGGCTCCCGCTAGCACCAGTTCTGGGGCTGGAAAGAGGGTATCCCCACCGTAGGAGAGCCCAGAGGGCTGATGGGAGGTTAGCTTCTGCACGTACAGCCCTGTGTGCCCCATAGAAAACTGCCCTGCAGGGTGAGAGGAAAACAAAAAGCATCATGCATGATGGGCACGCAAACAAAAATTACAAGACACGTGAGAAAATCTAGTGCCTTAAAGAGTGGCCAATAACCCAATGAGTGGGAGAATTTACATCCAAGGACACTGAAACAGTAACATCCCAACAGGCTTTAGAATGAGCATTTGTTTTATTACCAGAGAGAGACAAGAGCGACTGACCCCTCTAACTCAAGAACAGTGATTAGGTGTAACAAAGAACTGATTAGAAATCTTGAAACTAAAGAATGTTTATTAAAAGAAGACACTCAACTAGAAGAGCTAAATAATAACTTATAGTCAAAGAAGGGATTAATAATTGGAAGTTAAAGCTGAAGATCCAAAGGTAACAGAGAGAGAGAGAAGGAGAGATGGAGGGTACATTGAGAACCTTTTCATACTGATAGATGTCCTCTAGCTGACAGGAGTTCAGGAAAAGAAAACCGGAGAAAGAAGGTACTTGAAGAAGGAATGGCTGACCACTTCTGTCTCTGGCATCATGGTAGAATAGTTGTCCGAACTGATCATCTCTGCAAACAGCTAAAAATAACTAGATAAATAAATGATGACAACAAATTTGTTTCAAATGCATCAGTGATCTGGCAAAGAAGTAAAGATACTCAGGCAGAAAGGTAAGAGAAGCAGTAGAATGCTGAAGCCTGACCTTTGCCTTGAAGGTATTTGACAGGCCGGCTGAAGCTGAGCATTTGTTTTTGGGGTCCTCAGTGCCTGGGGCCAAGATAACCCAATCCCTGTGCAAAATGAGGTTCCTGGTAAGTGAGCTAGGGCCCCAAGGGCAGCCCCCTCTGTGAATTAATAATAGATCTGCTCTCCTGTCATCACAGAGGGACTCCATTGAGAGCTGAGCCTGTCCTCATGTGGGTTTGTACATGAGAAACCTTAAGCCAAGAATTTCAAGTGGTCCCTGATTGTGGTGGTCTCAGACACTTCCTAGAAGGAAGTGCAGATCCTACCTGAATGAACCTTTATTCATCTCAGCCCTCAATCCCCACTGATAAAGTTCCAAGAAAAAGAACTTACAGAAAAGTCTTCCAGAAATAACGAGGCAACAGAGCATCAGAGCAAAGGACATCAAAAAGAACATGGTAGAATCACACTTGGAAAAACTTAAGGTGTTATCAGTCCAATCATTTCAGTGTTTAAAAATGATTTCAGAACTAAAGGAGAGGCTTGAAAATAGGAATAGATTTGCAAAAGAAGCAAAGTGATGTTCTGGAAATAAAAATTATAGTATTAAAAAAAACACAAAACATTGTATCTGTAAAGTAGAGCTAAAGAGACAATTTGTGAATGAAGCCAGATCTGAAGACCTTATCCAGAATGCAGCCCAGGGGATAAACAGATTGGTAATATAAAGTATAATAAGAGGCTAAGAGATACAGAGGACAGAGTGAGAAGATCCAACATAATGTGATTGGAGTTCCAGGAGGGGAAAAAAAGGCCAAAATGAGGGAGAGGTAACATTTTATAAAAATGACTGAACTTTTTAAAGTCGCCAATTTACAGATTCAAGATCAGCAAATCTTTAGCAGGGCAACAAAAAGAAATCTATACTCAAATGTTCAATCTCTTGATGTGGGTGCTGAGTGATTAGGTATAACATATTACCCCCTCAAAAAAAGATTATCTTGTTACAAATGAATGAGTTTCACTTTTCATCAATAATAGATAGTAGAAGACGAATATTTTCTAAGTGCTGAGGAAACAAATGTCAATCTATTCAATTACCATAAATGATACAGGCAGGGTAGACATTTTCAGGCCTAGGACACTTTACTGTGCACTGATCCTTGCTGAAGGAATGACTGAGGATCTCTGGAGCAGGAGGAACTGGGGAGATGGGGTGGTGGGGGGCGGGGAGCGGGGGGATCAGGACTGCATTTGGCGGACCCCAAACGGGATCTTGAACGAGGGATTTATAGGTCCTGTGTTGAGTCGAAGGTGGTACAGTGGCTCCTTGAGGCCACCAGGGATGCGTGTCCGTTATGTCTCCCCAGCCATCCTCCTTAGCTCCCCTAGGAGCATTTGCACCGCAAGGTTTGAGCTGTAGACAGGAGGGGAAAGGGCAAAGGGCAAGCTAGCTGAAGAAACATGGCTTCGAGCCCAGTCCACCAGGCTTGCCTCCACATCTGATCAGCCTTCCTGTGTCAGGTCCACCCCGAACTGCAGACATGTGGGGAGTAAGGGTATTTTATACTGGACACATTGTCACCATGGTTAAAACAGGGTCCGTGAGAACGGAAAAGAGAGTAGAAAGACTGCTGGGAGGGTAGCCAGCGGTGCTTGCCACAGGATGCAGGAAGAAGTGGTGAGCAAAGAAACGTAAACATTGCAAAAAACAACAATGGACTAACCTAGTAAGACAAAAAAGAGAAGACACAAATTGTAAATATTAGGAATGAAATCAGGCGATCACGGACCCCAGACAGCAAATGGACAGTAAGGAGATACTATTAATACCTGCATAAGTTTGACAGATTGATGAAATGGACCAATTCCTTAAAAAGCACAAACTACACAATTCACCCAAGATGAAACGTAATTTGCATAGCTGTGTATTAAAGTAGTAGATCATAGATCTAAATGTAAGATGTAAAATTATAAAAACTGTCAGGAGAAAACCTTCAGGACCTAGAGCTTGGTGAAGAGTTTTTAGACACGAGACCAAAAGCACAATCCATAAAGAAAAAAAACCAAATTGATAAATTTGACTTAACCAAAATGAAAAGCTTGTGCTCCAACAAAGAGTCTCTTAAGTGGATGAAAAGAGAAGCTGCAGACTGAGAAAATATTTGCAAGCCCCATATCTGATAAAGCACTCATATCTAGAATATATAAAGAATTCTCGAAACTCAACAGAAGAAAGGAAGGAAGAGGGAGGGAGGAAGTCCAATTAGAAAATGGGCAAAAGACATGAAGAAACATTTTACCGAAGAGGACATACCAATGGCAAACACATGAAAAATGTTCACCATCACCAGCCATTAGGGGAATGCAAGTGAAAACCACGACGAGCTACCATTCCACACTGTTAGAACAGCTGAAATAAAAAACGGTGGTAATGCCAGATGCTGGCAAGGGCGTGGAGAAGCCAAGTCTCTTGTACACTGTTGGGACTAAATGGTAGTTACTCTGGGAAATAGTTTGGTAGAGTCTTAAGGAGCTAAACATATACTTAACATATAACCCAGCAGCCATACTCCTGGCATTTATTCCAGACAAACTGTCCACACAAAAGGACATAGCACATCTTAAGAACTATACGAGTATACACAAATGTAGCAATTTTATTTGTAATCGGCAAAAGCTAGGGGGAAATGCTGCTCCCATTATTGCTTAATGAATGCTGGATAATTTGAATTTGTTATTCAGGATCCATCAGTTAAAATAAGTAAATGAAGCATAGATCTTCAGCCTGATGGAGGTTGCCAAGTCATCATCAAACCAAGATCTAGGTCTTAGCGTAATTTCCCTTTCTTCAGTTAGGAGTTACAATAGTCACAAAAAAATGGGTGAAATAAGTATGGTTAAAAAAAACTTCTGACGTGTGGCATGCAATTTACGAGGACATTCCTTCACCGGGTCCTGTACTCTGAGGAGTAATGGAGTGA